ACGACTTCTTCGACGTAGTGGATAAATTAGCTGCCATGGACATCGAAATCAACGAAGAATTGTTAACAACGATGATGTTACATGGACTACCGCCAAGTTTCGAGAATTTCCGATGCGTCATCGAAAGTCGAGACACATTACCAAAGCCGGAGGATTTAAAGATTAAGATTCTTAATGAAAGTTTAGCCAGAGCTAATGACTCACAAGAATTTGACGACAAAGCATTTGCAGCGAGCTCAAGGTCGCATGCGAACACACAACGCACGAGTGATAGTAAATATAAAAATCACGGAAAATGTTACAAGTGTGGTAAATTCGGCCATTTTGCTAAAAATTGCCGTACAAAGAGCGGTGGAAGGTCATTACGAGCGTCAGTGAGCACAACCGAGGATTTTTATGTACAAGCACAAACCAGAGAGGAGGCTAACAAAGTTCAAGGTCAACCTAAATTGAAGTGGTGCCTGGACAGCGGGTGTACAACGCATATGTGTGGCGACGAGAATTTACTAATAGGTAAAACGGCGTGCGATTCAAACGGAGGAGCCAGATACATGGTGACGTTTATCGACGACCACAGCACGTGGTGCGAGGTCTACTTCCTAAAAACAAAAGGTGAGGTATTAGATAAATTTAAAGAATATAAAAATATAGTTGAAACTTTTACTGGCCGAAGGATAAAATTTTTACAGACAGACAATGGTCGTGAATACTGTAATAACGAGTTCAATGAATATTTGAAACGCGAAGGGATCCAGAGAAGATTGTCAGCGCCGTATACGCCCCAGCAAAATGGAGTAGCGGAGAGAAAAAATAGAACGCTACTGGACACAGCCAGGTGCATGTTAATTGAGGCAGGACTACCTTAATCATATAGGGCAGAAGCGGTGGCTACAGCCAATTATTTAAGAAATCGCTGCCCAAGTAGGTGTATCGGCGGAAATACACCATACGAAGTTTGGTATGGCAAAAGACCAGACTTAAGACACCTGAGAGTGTTCGACGCGAGGGCATACGTTCTAGACAAGAGTGTGGGACGCGGCAAATTGGACCCAAAAGCCAGCGCAGGGCGTTTGGTCGGCTACGACCAACAATCGAAGGCGTACAGGGTACGTCTGGACAGCGGAAAGGTGTCGATAACCCGCGACGTGCGTTTCGACGAAAATTTAAAGCCAGCGAAGGACTACGTGGACCCACTGAAAGGACCAGAGAAGGACTAAGTTCCTGAAAAACCACATACAAAGGTAACGCAAAAAGCACCTGAGGTCGAGACCTATGTAGAGGTTGATTTGACCCCATTCGGCGAGGAGAAAGACGACGAAGAGGGGGAAATAGAAGAGGAAGCAGATGCGGCGATCATAATACCCAAAAGACTGCGAGGAAGACCCAGACTAGCAAGATCAGGGAGTCGCGGTAGACCGCAGAAAGTATTCCGGACTGATAGTTCATCCACCGTCGGACCACAAAAACCAAGAGACGATGACATCGAACGTATTCGATGATGACATTACCCGAGGTCAGAAGAGACCACTGGACTCGTCTTTGATACAGGTAGAAAAGAGACCTAGAAGGCCAAAAAGCTCAGACAGCCAGGAGGAGAGCGACGATGAGATGATAAATATCGTCGAGCAGATGGCACTTAATACGGATGTGCAAATAAACGACGCTTTAAACGGAGCAGATGCTGACCAGTGGATGAAAGCCATCACTGAGGAAATTAAATCACATTTAGAGCATGGAACCTGGGAAATCGTGCCCAGACCAGCGGACAAAAACGTCATTGGAACAAGAACAGTGCTGAAAAATAAGCTCGATACGGACGGTAACGTCAAACGAAGAAAAGCACGCATAGTTGCGAGAGGCTTTACGCAACGACCAGGATTTGATTATCGCACGACACGTTTGCGCCGGTTGCCAGACTAGAATCCGTCAGATTATTGATGGCGATAGCCGTCAAATTGGAAGCAAAAGTCCAACAATGGGACGTAAAAACAGCATACCTAAATAGCGACGTCGAAGAAGAACTATACATGGAATTACCAGAATTCCTAATTCAAGCCGTGGATGAAATAGTACGCCGTAAAAGACGTGATTCAGAGATGCAAAAAGCAGCATTAAAAATGCAGGAGGCATTGAGGCAAGAAAACCAAGTATGCAGATTAAGAAAAGCGATATACGGACTAAAACAGTCAGGCAAAAGGTGGTATAACCATCTACAAGGCATATTGAAGAAATTGGGATTCCAACCACTAACGTCGGACCCATGCGATTTCAAGATGATTCATCAAGGATGCATAGTCATAATCGCCGTTTACGTCGACGACATGCTAGCAATAACTAACAACGACGACTTGTTAAACGTCGTAAAGAATAAATTAAATAAAGAGTTAAAATTAACAGATCTCGGCGAAGCCAGACATTGTCTAGGCATAGAGATAAACCAAAAGGATGGAATAAAGCTGTGTCAGAAAAGATATATCCATGAAATATTATGCAAATTTCAGATGGACAGCTGTAACGCTACAGATACACCAGCAAGCCCAGATGCGAAACTGGAAGGAAATACGAACCCAGGAAAAATGACCAAGAAATATCCTTATCGAGAATTGGTTGGGTCATTGATGTACCTAGCGGTCGGCACAAGACCGGACATCGCACACACTGTAAGTGTGTTGGCTCAGTTCAATGATAAGCCAAGTGATCATCATTGGGGAGCGGCGAAGAAGGTATTAAGATACCTAAAAGGAACTCCAGAATATTCCTTACATTTTCGACGACCAATAGATAAATTGAAAGGCTACGCAGATTCCAACTGGGCTGGTAGCACCATCAAACATTCTCTTAATTGTGAGACCTTGGGACTGATATAAGCCACTTCACGTAGACATTGAGAGGGGGTGTTGGATATTTGGCAATGCCTACGCTGTCGTAAGTGTGCACTGTGCGCATGCTTACACTCTACTAGTCGTCTAGTATATATAGTACAGTCTATCAAGGGCCTTACTTGCTATTGCCACGTGCACGTCAAATTGTCGGTTACTCACTTAAGTGAGTAATGTTGGAACGCTTCACGTAATAATTATCCGTAACTCCTATTCTTTCCCGCTTCACAGCATTATTTATATTTGTTAAAAATGCTAACCGTAAGAATCTTCCTTGATGGACCTCTTAAAATTTGTTAATAGTATACTCATTATGTACACAGTAAAAACTTTTTCGTCAAATTTAACACAAAAATTTGTGTTGATGACTTTTTTTACACAATTTGTGTTGAATCAACACAATTTGTGTTGAATCGACACTCTATTGTGTTGAATCAACATACTAAAATGTTAAATTCTACACAAACATTTTTACATTTTACACAATGACGAAAAATTTTTTACTGTGTAAATTGTACTTTCAACCCTTAGAAACCCTCGTTCTAGGGTCGCTTAATTTAGTAAAGAATAAAAATAAAACAACACAAATGCTAGTTTTGCCATGAAAGCAAATAATATTCGAAACGGAGAATCAATGTTTTCCCATATAGTAATCAATCAATTTACATGTTTTTATTATATCTATGGATACAACTGATTCAATTCCAATATAATATGTAAATCATATTTAAGTTTACTAGGAATCTGAAATTTAAATGTAAATATTTCTTGACTTTTGATAGAAATATCTATTACTGGTGTTTGATAAGGTAGAAACAGAAAGAGGTGAAGTAAGTACCTTATTTATCAGCTTATAAATTAAGTAATAATATTCATATTACCACCCAAGTTAACACGAGTTAACAATCAACTAGTTGATGTTCAATGGTTTACGTCAAGTTTACGTAAACTTCGCGTCAACATTTGCATTTGCAACAGTCTCACAGAACTTAACTATAACTTACTCGTCAAGTTGACAGAAATTTACTGCCGGAATCGATCGAAAGGTTCATTCAAAGTTGACGCGACGTTTACGAAAAGATGACGTTAACGTGACGTAAATAGGTACAAGTACAACTGTTACTTTACTGTTTCCGTAAACTTTACGTCTTATTCCGGCCTCAAGTTTACGTAAACTTGATTTCATTTGTGCTAACTGGGCAGTTGGTCATCAGTAGTTAGGAATCAATTGATGCCAAGCTTACGGTAAGTTTCTTCGTGAGCAACATTGGAATGCAAGTTGATCGAAATCTACGGCCGGTAATCGAATACAAGTTGAAGGAAAACTTGTAATATACATATATTAAACTGGGGCAAAAAAATCAAGTATTTTTTTTTTCTAATTCTACATCGAAAATATTATTTGGCATGACAAAAAAAAATTATTCTCAGCATTTGAGCTCTTAATATCAATATTGAGAGATCTATCATCGCAATTGCACGCCTCATAAGCGAAGCGTTGCTCTACTCTCGACATTTCGAAAAAAGCAGTTTTATTTTTTACTTTTTATTTTTTATTGTACATTTTAATTTTAAGCGACATCTTTAAAGAGTATTTAGCTAGCCGGATATATTTTTACGGACGGGTCTAAGCTAGAAAATGTTCCATTCGGAGGTTTCGCGGTAGAGCTGCGAAATATTCACTCTCGAAGCTTTGGCAAATTATGAATATCTCTTAAGTTAATTGAGGAATCCGCTTTTGAATGCTTTACTATCTTTTCAGACTCTAAAAGTGTTCTACAAGCACTTGTGTCAGACAAAGCTTTGGGCAAGAAATCGTATTTGATACTGGTAATTTGGAAACTTACAAGAAAATTGAGCTTCAGGGGTAAAAAAATCTTACTTTTCTGAACTACCGCGCACTGCGGCATTAGTGATAACGAGACAGCTGACAGGGCTGCTAAAAAGAAAGTTTATTCATTTTAGTCTTAAAAAAGTATCAGATTTTATTAATAAAAATACAAAACTATCACAAGCATATAATATAAATATTGAAAGTTCAACCAAAATTTTATACATTTACTGGAAGGAAACCAATGATAAATTAAATCAAATGGCCAATAAATAAAACTTATCTTCTGCTTACTTAATTTCGACCAATTTATTCATTTCAAAATTACTAAAATAAAACAACATTTCATGAATAAAAGTAGCAGGAAGATATCTAGAATAAATTTTATAGAGAACATTTTCAACTTGATTGAACAATTTTCTTCGTTGACCAGCTTTTTCCCAGAGATATTTAATCATTCCTGCATACAGAGGAAACTTGGCCGCCATTTTATCGTCAAACTTATCTTCATCTCCATCCTTGATCCTCAGCGCCAGTTTGTGATAAGATCTGTGCAGTATATCAAACAAGGAAAATCCAGCCATTATTCCGTGAATATTTTTCATAAGTTCAACTTCTGTATCACATTTAACACTAAATTTTCTTAATTTTCTTCGGGAAGCAACTTTTTCATTCCTATCGCAGACGTAAAAGCCAGCCGTCATCAGCTTAACAATATGCTTCTTCATAACCTCACGGCACTTTTCTTTGTCTCCATAGCTATCAATCGGTAATTCATCATCATTGCTCACAATATTGACATCAAATCCAGCATTCAGAAGATCTTGAAGGCTAGACTCAGGATCAATGTCATCTATCGCGTTAACCAAACTCCTGGAAAATGAAGACAAGATGTCTTGTCAATAGTCAGAGAATCTATTTCTATAACAGGTTGACTTAGCAAAAGTCTGCGACTTGCTGAGTTACGGTCTTCAACAGCTGCTTTCATCAGAGGAGTCAAACCATTGACGTCTCCAGCATTAATTTCAGCGCCATTTTCGATCAGCAATTTCAACATTCCTACGCTATTTGACAGAGCAGCGATATTCATCGGCGAGTCGTTAAAAACTCCATCAATGCCCATTTTTCCGAGAACATCAGCGCCCTGGCTGATGAGAAATTCAGCGATCTCATATGCATTTAGATGGACAGCATATTCCAGTGGAGTATACTCATTATAATAAACATGATGATTACCTTCATTATTAAGAATACTACTTTCTCTCTCATTTGTGTCTTTTACACAGATAACCTGATTGACATCAGCACCAGTTGTCACTCATTTTTTTACGTACTTCAAGCGGTTCAAACTAATCGCCGATAAAATTACCGGTGCCAAATCTTCTGTCTCCAGTGTCGGGTCAGCATTGTTCTCCAGGAGGAAGTCTACGAAATTATCGTCATGTACATAAAGAGCCAAGTGAAGAATAGTATATTCAAATAAATTTCTTACGAATCCGGTTAGCGGTAAGAATTCTGATCTAGGAATTTCATTTTGATCACTCTCATGAATTTTTACCACTATATTGACAGATAACTTTTTTGACATTATTGAGTCACGAACTTTTTCGTGGCGCAAGTCACGGAAGATTACAAACTCTATTATTTGTTATTAGTGAAAAAATTTTCTGTGACAGATTATGATCAAAATTTCTCTATTGTAACTAAAATTAAGTTACTCGATGTCTAAAAATTTTTATCAATTTTTTAATTTGAAAAATTATTGCAAAAAAAAAGTAACAAATTATATTTTTAAAATTTAGTATTATTTTTTATGAAACTTAGGGCCAGTTTTTCAACCCCGGGTTTAAGTATTTTATCATTGTGAATATATCTATATATCTTTATATATTAGTCCGGTCAATTTAGACATCCAAGGTTACAAAAATTTCCACTTGGCTGAATATTGGTAGGATTGCTCAATACACTATTATAAAGGAAATGTGAAAAGTTCTCATCGATCCGGCACGTGCAAAAAAATTTACTCGGGGGTCAAAGGTCACAAAAACAGGTTTTTCGCGATTTTCAGCAAAATGGTAAGTTTTATCATAAAATTAGCTTAGACAAAAATTGTAGATCAGATAATTATCTATAAAAAATGTCTACATAATTTTTTTCCTAAGAGCCACCGTTTTTGAGATATAACGATTCAAAAAGTTGAAAGAGTTGTAATCGTCATAATATGTACACGTTTCCACGCCATCTTTGAGGTAGTGTACTTAGCGCGTTTTTTGAAGTGAAACTTCTTTACGCGCGTTGAGGGTAAAATTTCAAGGTCGCGTCACAATAATAATAATATGAGCGTCACAATAATCATAATATGAGCGTCACATTAAAGGACGCATATATATACGTAGTCGGAGAGAAAAAGATAAAGATATAAAGGAATACTATACTTTTACACTATAGAAATGTTATTTTCACGTTCGCATGCGTTGTATTTTAGACTGTAGGTACACTGCTCTTAAGGAGGTCCTTTCGCCGCCAATGTAAAATAAAAAATATTAGATTATGAGTAAATTCAATTTTTTTCTAATAGTTAAGGCTCTTATTTATTTAATAGTGAGGTTTAAATTATACTTTACCGGACAAATTTTTGAAAAAATAAAATTTTTAAATGTTAGTATTTGTTCAGAGTCTTACGAGAAAGTCAGACGTTTGCAGTATTTCTCGAATTATACTATCACCCATGGATTAGATGAAGTAAAAAAAAACTAAAAATTAGATTTTCGAAATATTCAGGTTTCTTTTTTTGCAATAAAATATATATCAGTTACCGAGATATTTATTGAGAAATTAATTTTTAAAAATCACAAAAAATTCTCAAGCAACCTACGTTAAAATGGAGTCAAAACATTTGGCAACGTTGCGTAGCGCGCGAGCTTCAGACCATTCAATAAATTCAAACTAATTTATTTATTTACACTGACTGCAAAAATTTAAACGTGGTTAAGGTTATATTGTGCAAATGAAAATGTAAACAACCGAAGTACAGCGTTGCCAAATCACGGACAGGTTACTAGCAGTTGATTTGAAAGAGTCAAATTAATTTTTGTATTTAACTATTTTTTTTTTTTATTTTCAAAATTTCAACGATTAATGCCTCATATACCATATACTATTTATTATTTAATTTTAGGAATTTTTATGGGTTTCTTTTTTTAATTTATCGTATATTGACTACGATAATTGTTTTGACTCAAGTGGAGCGAAAGGATTTCTTTAAATATTATTATGATTTAACAAAATAGAATTAGCATTAAAAAAAGAAACAATTTTTAAATCACTACTGAATTAATAGAATTAATTCCTAATAAGGAAAAAATAAATAATAGTTTAAAAAAAAACTAAAAACCACGCTTTATATAGAAAACCAAATTAAAAAATAGAAAATAAATGTTAATAAATTTGAATTAAGAATAATGGAAAAATTTTGATAAATATAAATTAATAATAATGTAAATAAGAAAAAATGTATCTTTTTTTTTTTAAAAAGGATGGAGTGCATGGTGTCAATAGAGTAAGGGAGATCGAGAAAACATACACACTATTAGTTGATGTATTTGTTTAGTAGATAAATATTACAACTTTAAATGGCAACACATTAATAATTATTGATGTATAATAATCCAAACACACCAACTAAAAATTCAGGAACGACAATAGATGCTATTTTTAAAAAATATTTAGATAGTGTTGAAACATGAACTTATATTGCATATTTTAGAAATTATTATGCTTTGGTCACAACAATACCAATAGAAATCGCATCAAATAATATAAATATCGAAGAAATAAATTTAAAAAATTAGGAAAACGGTTGACCCTGAAAGCCATCCCTGCAACTTCCCGCTACTATCGTAATTAAGCAATAAAAATTGTACTTATTACGTTTTGGAGCTCTTCGAGCCCAAAAATATGAATTTCGTGTAGTTTTTAGCTCTCCGAGCTAAAAAGTCTGATAGCAGTTTAATAAAAGACTATTTTTTGGATTTTCAAACCGCAATAACTTTTGAATGAATCAACCGATTTTCACGCGGTTGGCGGCATTCGACGCAGTTTTTTAAATTCTATGATATATTTTTAAACATTTATTGATCAGACCGAAAATTTCGGTGTAATTCGAAAAAAACACTTTTTTTCGATTTCTTTCGTCAACGATAACTCACGAACAAATCAACCGATTTTGACCGGCTTGGTGACGATCGACGTGGTTTTTCGATGTTAAGAGCTGATTAGTTTTTAGAATTGATCGGTCAAGCTGTTTGAAAGTTATTAAAAAAAACCTCATTTGAAAAAATTTTTTTTTGCAGATTTTTTAAGATTTCTCAAAATCTATCGGTCCAAGTTGTATTCAAAATCTAAGTTTAATCAAATCCTTTCGAATGGCAGCAACTGCGATCAAATCGGTCAAGCCGTTCAAAAGTTATGAGAGATTTACCCACACACACACACACCATCGCGGGAATAGTCAGGGAAGCTTCCTAGGACCTCAAAACGTCGAGATCTGATGAAAACTCGATTTTTGAAAAACGGGGTAAAAACAATAACTTTCCGATTTTTGAAAATTTTCAATTTTCTTAGAGGGAAGTTAAAAATTAAATTTATAATTTGTATTAATTTTCGACACTTTTATTATTTTAATTGCAATAAAATTAATTAAATTACCAACATATCTTTTTTTTCCCTCTTTCCAAGTCTTGGAAATCTAAACCTTAAAAGAGAATAAACGAGTTTTAAAAATTAGTTTGCCAAAGAAGTTTCACTTCTGACATGTGTACTTTGTACGCACGCACTTTTTTTTTTTTAATGTGCATATCTGAACTTATCTAAGCACGTAATTTTTTTAGGAGCTCCATACATAGCGAGAAGAAAGCGAATTCCGTTGGTGATAACTTCTTGTGGAGTTGAATTACTCTTTTTAAAAACTTCAAAACACTGAACTAAATTTTGTTTTTCAAACATTTTAAAAACAGTTGTTTTACCTCTCCTGAAAAATGCAGATGTTGAATCACAACCAGTTATTGCATGTAAAAATAGTGCATGATTTTGACACTTTGCCAAAGTCGATGAACTGTTTGATGAATATATTACAGATTGTCGTTGAGCTTTTCCAAGTTTTAAGAAAAAAAATAGTTTTTTCGATTGGAGTTCGAGCAGTGAGTAACACGAATAAGTCCACATCTTCACCTACAACAATAGTTGTATTTGTTGAATTGAATTGTTCTATCCACTCTTATAATTTAGATGAAAAATATGAAAATATATCATGTAAGAGCAAACTATTCGCAACGTGATTGGTCAAATATATCATAAGCATGAAAATATAGATAATTCCATACCAACAATCACACGCGCGCTTGCGCGCGCAACGTATACTAGTTGCTGTTTTAATTATCATCACATCAACATCATTATTGGCTTGTTTTACCAATATATTTTCAGCAGTAAACTTTTCTTTCAACATTGAAATGAATCGAGATTTATTGTGAATATTCGCAAGAAATTTTTGTTGACTGGTAGAAATTGTCATAGATTGATCAAATAAAATATCAGAAGATGAAGATGTTGCTGAAGTTCTACGACGTTATTCTGCGGCTTTAATATTTTTCGTAAAGTCATTGTAGCCATCAAATACGACAGTAACTCTGGGTCCATAATGTCGACGTACATACTGAAGGTATTTATCCAAGATAACGCTGAATGTTTCTTCGCTATCCCACACAACGCGGTGTAATAAATATCCTCCATCAATGATGTATGTCGCATTTATGTTGTTAATATCAATATTTACTTTCTGAAAACAATCGTAAATGGCAGACTTTTGAGTTTTACGCATCCCAATGTCATCAAACAATGATAAAGGGTAGGGAGCCAGTTCATAGTCAAAATATTTTTCAATTTCATCTTGAAATGCCGCAGTACCTAATACTCAATCGTTGGAACAATAATACAGGATCAACTGGCACTTTTTCATCGTGAACTTTTATGGTGCTATTCATTGCTAAAAGAGGGACAATAGTTTGTCAGCACGTTTTAATTTGATATTATCAAATGTTAGTCCTGTTATTTTTGACATAGAGTTAAGCCCAACTTCACGAGCTTCATAACAATTAATTTTACTATCACCAACGACACCACTTGCAATAGATACAATTTTTGCTTGTATTACGGCTTCAGTGATGTATATACGTGGTGTACTTATACATATTATGACGATTACAACTCTTTCAACTTTTTGAATCGTTATATCTCAAAAACGGTGGCTCTTAGGAAAAAAAGTATTTAGACATTTTTTATAGATAATTATCTGATCTAAAATTTTTGTTGAAGCTAATTTTATGATAAAACTTACCATTTTGCTGAAAATCGCGAAAAACCCGTTTTTCTGACCTTTGATCCCGAGTAAATTTTTTTGCACGTGCCGGATCAATGAGGACTTTTCACATTTCCTTTATAATAGTGTATTGAACAATCCTACCAATATTCAGCCAAGTAGAAATTTTTGTAACCTCACCCCTATTTTTTAGTCTAATTTGACCGGACTAATATAGATATATTCACAATGATAAAATACTTAAACCCGGAGTTGAAAAACTGGCCCTTAAGGGATCAGTCTGGTTTGTAACTTTGTAAAAAATTATTTTTTTTTTTTACAATTTTTGAAAGTAAATATATCTCTAACAGTATTGTGTTCAACTTTTTAAATAATCGGACCAATGATACTGAAGTTAGCAGAGATTAAAAATTTTTTGATCTTTTGAATCATTAAAAATTATAAGTAGAAAGTATTATTAAAAAATTGCACTAAGAACTATTTAAATTTTCTTAATGTCATATTTTTTTTAAGTATATTAGATTTTCATAAAATTGAAAAAAAAATCGTTAATTTTTATACAAATTACAAAAAGTTTACAATATTTTATGGAATTATTATCGAGACGAAAGAAATGGTAGTTATATGAAATTAAATATATTAATTTTGCAAAAATTTACGGAATTTCCATAAGAGTTAGTATCGGTATGATTATTTTGACTATAAAATATTCGAAAATTTTCTTTTTAAAATTTACCAACACAAATTTTTTTTTTTTTTTTCTAGAAACCCTGATTTAGAAAATTATTTGGAATGATTACCTTCATGTTAATTGTATATCTATACAGTATTCAAATCTGCAGATGCTTTGAAATCATTTCAAATTAGATTTCTTAATCAGGGAAATTAAGAGAACAATTTTTTTTTATACTTACTATCAATGCATTTAAAAAATGTTTCTAGTTTCAAAAAATATGAGTAATTAATTTATTAAAAATAAATGAGATAACATCATTTATTTAGGATTATGAGAAAGTTTTAAAATTGAGAAAAATTTTTTATTTTTATAAAAATTAAACAATGATTCTTCTCTAACTCATTTTTTTTATTATTAAAAAAGTATTAGATTTAATCAATAAAAATACAAAATTATTACAAGCATATAAATATTAAAAGTTTAACTAAAAATTTATAAATTTGCTGAAAAGAAACCAATGATAAATTATATTAAATGGCCAATAATAAAACTTATCTTCCACTTACTTATTTTTCACCAATTTACTCAATTCAATGTTACTAAAATAAAAAAACATTTCATGAATAAAAGTAGCAGGAAGATATCTAGAATAAATTTTATAGAGAACATTTTCAACTTGATTGAACAATTTTCTTCGTTGACCAGCTTTTTCCAAGCGATACTTAATCATTCCTGCGTACAGAGGAAACTTGGCTGCCATTTTGTCGTCAAGCTTATCTTCATCTCCATCCTTGAACCTCAGCGCCAATTTGTGATAAGATCTGTGCAGTATATCAAACAAGGAAAATCCAGTCATTATTCCGTAAGTATTCTTCATGACTTCAATTTCTGTATCACATTCAACTCTAAAATTTCTTAATTCACTTCCTGAAACAACTTCTTTATTCCTGTCGCAGACGTAAAAGCCAGCCGCCATCAGCTTAACAATATGCTTCTTCATAACCTCAAGGCACTTTTCTTTGTCTCCATAGCTATCAATCGGTAATTCATCATCATTGCTCACAATATTGACATCAAATCCAGCATTCAGAAGATCTTGAAGGCTAGACTCAGGATCAATGTCATCTATCGCGTTAACCAAACTCCTGGAAAATGAAGACAAGATGTCTTGTCAATAGTCAGAGAATCTATTTCTATAACAGGTTGACTTAGCAAAAATTTGAGACTTGCTGAGTTTTTGTCCTCAAGAGCTGCTTTCATCAGAGGAGTCAAACCATTGATGTCTTTAACATTAATATCAGCGCCATGTTTCATCAGCAATTTTATCATTTCTACGTTATTTGACGGAGCAGCGATACTCATCGCCGCGTCGTCAAACTCTCCATTGTAATCTTCTCCGTGAACATTAGCACCCTGGCTGATGAGAAATTCAGCGATCTCATATGCATTTAGATTGACAGCAAATTCCAGAGGTGTATACCCATTATAATAAATATATGTTTCTCATATGTGTCTCTGACACGGACAGCCTTATTGACATCAGCACCAGCTGACACTATTTTTTTAACGTACTTCAAGCGGTTTAAACGAATCGCCGAAAAAATAACCGACGCCAAATCTTCTGTCTCCAGTTCCGTGTCGGCATCGTTCTCCAAGAGGAAGTCTACGAATTCAACGTCGTCTACATAAAGAGCCAAGTGAAGAATAGTATATTCGAAGAAATTTTTTTCGGATCTGGTTAGCGGTAAAATTTCTGAACTATCAATTTTGTTCCGATCTTTCTCATAAATTTTTACCATCGTGTTGACAGAGAACTCTTTTATCATTATTGAAAAACGAACTTCTTCGTAACTGAAGTCACGGAAGATTCCCAACAAACGGGATCGAATTGAAAGTCAATACGATTCTATTTGATTCAATCCGACTTTTGAAACCAGTATGTCGCATTGAAAAGTATTCAATCGAATAGAAAATTTTCGAGGTAGAGCTCAAATTACCGACCAAGCTAAAACCACTTACCATATGTAATTAAAGTTGAATGTAAGTGATAGAAAATAGGAAAAAAAATATAAAGTAAAAATTTATTTGTTTATAACAAATTGTTTATTACATAAACAATGAAAAATTAAATAAAA